CCCAAGAATTTGCCAGAGCCAATCCCAAACGCACATTTGGAAGCATTCAGTTTCATTTTATATTTGCGTAAGATATCGAACGTCTCTTCTAGATCAGCTAGATGGGTTTGCTCTTCTCTGGACTTGACCACCATGTCATCAATGTACACTTCTATAGTGCGGCCGAGTTACTCCTTGAACATGGTTGTGACCAGTCTTTGGTAAGTTGCCCCTGCATTCTTCAGCCTAAAATGTATAACGTTATAGCAGTATGTTCCTCTTGGGGTGAGGAATGCAGTTTTTTCTTGGTCCTCAGGATGCATGGCGATCTGATGGTAGCCTCTGTAAGCATCGAGGAAGCTCATACGCTAATGGTGTGCCGTCGCATCTACAAGTTGGTCAATTCTGGGTAGGGGAAAACAATCCTTGGGACAGGCTTTGTTCAGGTCCGTGAAATCGACGCACACTCGCCAAGTCCCGTTTTTCTTCTTCACCACCACTGTATTAGAGAGCCATGTAAAGTAGGTCACCTCCCTGATTGCCCCGGCTTCAAGCAGCTTATCAACCTCCTCAACGACGGCGGCAGTGTGCTCTGCGGCTGACTGCCGGCTTTTCTGAATGATCAGCTTGCACTTAGGATCAACATTCAAATGGTACTGTGAAATGGACAGATCTATACCCGGCATCTCATACGGAGTCCATGCAAAGATATCGATATTGCTAAGCAGGAAAGAGATTAGCTGTTGTTTGTCTGCCTGATTCAGGGGTGCGCCGACCATGAAGAATTTGTCTGGGCTGCCATCGATTTCAACTCGGTCTAAGCCTTCCGTGGCCTTTTCATTTGGGAGCCGCCCAACATCGTCGAGGCTCTCTCGATCTGGCACCTCAATAGAATTCACCAGCAGCTCCTTCGGTGTTTTTCAGCAAGGAGAGAACATGCTTGTGCCGATTTCTGGGAGCCACGGATTTGCTCAATGCCGCACTCCGTCGGGAAGCGTAGCAGCTGATGATATGTACTCGGCACGACTTGCATGGTGTGCAACCAAGTTCGATCCATAATGAGATTGTACGACGATGGCAGCTTGACGATCAAGAATTCTACGTCTACTGTTCGGGAGCTGGCTCGGACTGGTAGTGTGATTTTCCCCAATGGGTATTCTGGATTGGCGTTGAAGCCGAATAACGGATAAGGAGCCGAAGAGAGATCTAATTATGAGAAGCCGAGTTTGGTGAATGTCTTGTAATACATAACCTCTGATGTGCTCCTCGGATCAATGAGTACGGGCTCAACGGTGAATCGGTTTACGCGTAACTCAATTACCAAGGGATCGATGTGAGGGAGTGTCACTCCGGCCGGATCTGAATTATCAAAAGAAATGCTTGCAGCTTCATAGTTGACTTTGAAGGTCAGGCTTCGACTGAATCGTATGTACTGCCGATGACATTGGCAGGCTGTATATCATGTGGATCATGCCGAGCGGAGGTGAATCCTGTCTTGAGGCTATTGCTTTGGTTGGGTTGCTTTTTTGAACGTACTGTTGTAGGTGGCCATCTTATACCAATTCCTCCAGGTGATCCTTCAGTGCATAACGACTCTCAATATCATGGCCATGTCCTTGTGATACTCATACCATATATCCCGTCTTCTCGTGTCGGGAGGTCCTAACATTTTCGATGACCACTTGAAGAACGGAAGTTGTTGGTTTTTGGACATAACCACGCTGGAAGTTTCAGATCGTCCCTTCTTCTTAGGCTCCGGGGATAATGAGTCGGAGTCGCTATTAGTGTCTTGTTGTTGGGCTCGAGATCGTCGACCACTTGCCCTCACCGCTCATTCCAGATCTTGGCATACTGCTTGTTTGGGTTTTTGGACATAGCCACGCTGGAAGTTTCAGATCGTCCCTTCTTCTTAGGCTCCGGGGATAATGAGTCGGAGTCGCTATCAGTGTCTTGTTGTCGGGCTCGAGATCGTCGGCCACTTGCCCTCACCGCTCGTTCCAGATCTTGGCATACAGCTTGTTTGGACTTTGCCACTTCCAAGGCCAAATCCTGACGGAGACATTCGTTCTCTGCGATCTTGTTCTTCAACCTCTGTTCGTTTTGCTTTGCTTGTTCCATGATCGCCTGCATTGCCTCATGCTCTGGAGTCAAGGGTGAGACGAAGTTCAAAGCGCGTCTTGCAAGGATAGTCTCCGGTTCAAGCATATTTGTTGGAGTGAGGTCGTTTTTCTGCATGTTTTCATCAGTGACTATCGGAGGGTCTTCCGTTACGCCCGCCATGGATGTGTTTGAGTATTCCCACAGACAGCGCCAATTATGGAGATGTGGTTTGGAAATACTCTTCTGATCCTGAGGGACGCTATTGATCCTCTTCTGGTCACCTGAAAAGGAATAAACACTGCGATCGGGGGTGCTGGAATTAGCACTCCGATGGGCAAGTCAGTCTCTACACTCAAGATTACTTAGATTCTAAGTTAAGCTTCATAGTTCTCATGTACCTTTCTTTGACTATTGTTCCTCTATTTATACTCATTTACAGGGCCTGGTCCACTTTCCGCTCTCAAACTGCTTATTTATTCGGCTCCATAGTTACTCGGCCTGTTAATTGTAATCGGCCTCCTAATCGTGCAGATTAGAGCCAAACAAATGTCCATCCTTCGAAGCGTACGCTTCTGACTCTGCCCTTTATTCGGCTCCCACAACTATAATATTAGCAATAATTAGCCAAAGTGAGTCTAATTTGCCTTTTTAGAAACCTAAATTAGAATTGAAGTATGAAAAATAAGGGTTAATTTCACTTTTATCATCTAAATTATTTTTATTGTCCATTTAGTTTCTAATTGAAAATGATTATACAAATCAATAATGGTTAAAGCCTAATTTAATTAAAAGGTGGGTTATTTTAGAATTTCAACAATTTAAAGCATACAATAAAACTCTATTTTTATTATTATTATTTTTTATTTTTTGAACAAATAACACCCCACAATATGGGTTTTGGTTTTATGATATAAATTATTCAAAGTATATAGTTATGTTCTCTATCAAAGTAGGATTTAATAATTATTGATTTGTACAATTGAATTATGTCAATAAAAATGAGAAATTTTAGAGTAACAGTGAAATTAATTGGAAAAAAATAATTTTTAGCACCCACGTGTCACTATCAAATTATGATAGAAGCCAAAACTTGGTGCCTTAAGGGTCACATTAATATAAGCAAAATGTTTTAAAACTTTAATTCTTGAATTCTAAAGCTAGTTTTAATGAGTTAGTAATAAATTTCATCTATTATAATGTGATGTTTTAGTCTTAATTTATTTATTATTTTTTTTTCTTACCATGCCATTAATACTCCATTAAAACACTAAAACTAATACTCCGAATCATTGTTGTTAATGGCCTTGTTTGGTAGGGTTTATTTTTAACTTATTTTAGCTTTTAGTTTAATTTAAGTTATTTTGATGTGTTTGGTTCAATTTAACAATACAGCTTATAATTTTTTATAAGTTAAAAATTAACTTATTCTTTGACTGGGGAGGAGAAACTTAATTTATAAGTCAAAAATCAATTTATATTCACAGCTATAAGTTATAAACTGTTAAATTATAAATTATAATCACTTTTTTACAACTCTACCAAACTACCAAACGAGCCTAATATAAAGTCCTATGCCTTAAGAAAAGATTTGCTAAGCTTCCAAAGGGAGTCTTTACTTGCACGGACCCAAGCCACCTTCAAACCAAATACACAGGTGTTTGGAGTAATCACGAGTTTGTTTGGTTTTAATTTTTTAAATTTAGTTTTTTAGAAATTAAATTTTTTATTTTTTATTTCTAATAAATATTTTTAAAATTTTAAATATTTATTTTTTTATTTTTTTAAATTTATTTTACTTAAATGTATTTAAATAGTAAAATATTTGTAAAAAAATATTTTAAAAAATTAATAAATATACAAAACATGAAAAATGTATTGAATTTTTTATTTTTTTATATTTTTGGTATTTAGTGAACGTTTTTAAAAAAAAAAATTCACAAACATTATACTTTTAAGTATATTTGTGTTAGCTGTATCTAAAAATTTTATAAAAAAATGTTTTAAATATTAAAAAAATTTAATGAAAACAAAAAAATACAAAAAATAAAAAAGTATAATTTTTTAAAAAGTTAATTTTAAAAATTAAAACCAAACAAAATATATAATTTTTATTTTTTAAATTAGAGATTACCTCTTTATTTTTTATAATTTTTTTTATAAAAAAATTAAGAAATATATATAATTATTTAAATCATCCTAAACATTCTAATAATATAAATAAATAAAATAAAATAAAAAATAGTAAAAACATTGGAAGACGGTGTTGGGTTGTCTTGTGGTTTAGTGAATTGAATGCGACCAAAACTCTACCTCCTTCCCCCTTCTTTCTCTCTCTTCTCTGTTCTCTCTTCTCTCTCTCATCCTTTGCCCTACAAATACGCCATTCATTGTTAATTTTTCTCGCAACTTCTTCAACTCTTTTTTTCAATCTCAAGGTTGTTCTTCTTTGAAAAACTGAGTGTTGAAAAAAAAAAAATAGTCTTTGATAGACCTTTTCTCTCAATTTTTTCAGCTACAGAGCCAGAAAAAAAACAAAAACAAAAACAAAACAAAACAAAACAAAAAAACTGTTGCAGATTTATATTCCTGTAAATCTGTTATTTTAATTTTTTGTGTGGGTTTTCTCTTTGATGCAAATCAACCGCTTGATCCATTAATTTCAACTGCCATTGTCACCACCATCGGTTGCTCTCTCGATGTATCCTCTCTCTCTCTCTCTCTCTCTCTCTCTCTCTATATGTATATATATATATATATATATTTGTATGTTTGTATATTTTTATTATATTTGAAAATTAGAAAGGGGTTTGAAGGGATTCACAAAGGGCACTGCCAATGTATATGCGTTTTTTTCTCTCTTTGCCAAAAATTGGTAGTTGTTTTATAGGTGTGTATATATATATATATATATATGTAGTGTTTGGAATTGTAAATGGCACCTGGGTTTTGTTCTGGCTGTCTATTTTGATTTTTATAATGTTCAAGATTAAGTTTTTATAATTAATTTGTTGGAATGTTTATTAGGCTTTCATTATTTCTTTGCAATAACTGCCTTTTCTCTGCTCTGGTTGAGGCTTTATATCTAAAGAAAGATCCGGAAATTGAATACTCTGTGTGCTGATCTGGTCCCTCGTAATGTGTATTGATCAGGTGCAAGCTTGGATTTGAGGAACATATATATCTTCATGGTGAGTATTTTGTACATCTCTTATTTCATATAGGAATGAAAAATAAAAATAAAGATTTGATTTGAAAGATCTGAACTGCCATGAAAATGTATGTATTGAATGTGGATCAAAATGATTTTCTTTGCTGTGATTTAATCTGGATTTGGTTGTGGTTATCAGGGGGAAGCTCCAGCTTTCTTTCTAGATGATCTGGATAGGGAATTTTCAAATGGGTTCGCATTAAAAGGCTCACAGACAACTACTGTAATCGGTGATAAAACGGTATTGATCATCCCATTATTGGATCTTGCTCTATGAATTTTACTCCCCATAAAAAATTCATGGTATGTAATTGTGTTTTGATCAGTATGTGATTGGTGGGACTGATGACGAATCGGCATCAACAATTGGAGTTCAGATTTTCAACAGATCTACGAGCGAAGTGTTAGTCTTAAATTCTAAATTCAGGTCGCTGCAATTGGGCTTCAATTGAGATTGGAACTGGGATTATTAATTTTCTTGTCAAATTTGCAGGACCATTCCCACGGTGTTGGGAACAAAACCAAAGCAATGTAAGGATCATGCAGCCCTGCTTTTAAATGAAGACCGAATATTGATTGTTAAGGGGGATTCTACTCCTGAAGATTGTGCTTGGCTTCTTGAGGTTGTTTTTTGTTTGTATCGTTGAAAGCTTTCAAGATTAGTGTTTGGTGTCGAAAAAATTCTTTTCGTAAGGTATAGAGATAAAATGTTTTTATTGGATGCTAGAGATAAATTAATACGGGACCAGTTAGGGAGAACATACTATTTTAGTAATTTTTTAGTTTTTTATGAAAATATCTACAGAAAAGTAGGGAGAAGGGAGAGTAATGTGACAATTTATAGTGACTTTTTGACTTTTTGATTAAAATGTATAGTTGACAAATGGGGCTTTAGTGGGTAAATGAACTTATTTCAAATGGCTTGGAGAAAAGCTTTAAACTCAATTTCAATAGAAGTTGAAATTTATTTTACTAGAATGCCTCTTTATATTTAAGCTTTAATTTTGTTGTCTTCTTATGTGTTTTAAAGCACTACCTAATATGATTTTGGTATTATGTTAGGTGGACACCAAATTTGTTAAACAGCAGCAAAATAATTTTGAAACTGAGGTGGTGGCTTGGAGTAAGGGAGTAAGAGGTGACGCTGAGAAGCCCATTGTTATCAGCGGTCCTTCTGGGGTTGGGAAGGGAACATTAATAGCGAAACTCATGAAGGAGTTTCCATTCATGTTTGGATTCTCTGTGAGCCACACAACCCGTTCTCCAAGGGAAAAGGAAAAGGATGGGGTTCATTACCATTTCACTGATCGAAGTGTTATGGAGAACGAGATCAAAGATGGCAAGTTCCTTGAGTTTGCTTCTGTTCATGGAAACCTCTATGGAACCAGTGTTGAAGCTGTTGAGGTCGTTGCAGATGCAGGAAAGGTATACACTATACACATGTTGCATGATGTTACTTTATCTTTAAAGAAAAAAAATTGTATTTTTCAGATTTCAAACTGCTCAAATTGGCCTCCTCATCTTGGGCAGTTCTAATTAGAGATGTTCAAATATTGTGTGTGTAAATAATCCAATACCTGATCTAAAAAAGTAAAAAATGCTACACTTGGATTGCCAAAAAAAGGCTACAGTCTCAGTTTATTGTTGGGGTAACTGAAATTTTGGACCTACATAATGGACACCAACTTGAGTGTTGGTGTACTTGAGTGTTGGTGTATGATGGATCCAATTTGTGAATGCCCAGAAAAGGATAAGGCACTTTTCTTGTTTTAATTTGGTTCCCAAACAAATTATGCCACAAAAGGGCATGCCTGAAAAGGAAAGAAGTAAATGATTAAATAGGTAGGAATTGGGAAGCATTTGGATAAATATAATCTCGTAGTTTTTGAAGAAATGGAAATTATGATCGTTTTGGCAAGAGAAAATGACTAGTGAATTAAGGTACTCCTGTGGGCCCCACACCACGGTTTAGGAAATCAAAATTGTCAAGAAACTAAATTCTTGTAGATAAGAGATGACAAGATGAAAAGACTTAAAATAGTTATACCATTGTTAATTTTTGCTTCAGCCTATTTGTTGGAAGCTTTGGACTGTCTGTTTGGATGATTTATGAGTGTTTAGTAGTACATCTGATTATAATGAAATGGTTTGTTTGTTTGTGATGTAGAGATGCATCCTTGACATTGATGTCCAAGGGGCAAGGTCTGTGAGCGAAAGTTCTCTTGAAGCCATTTTTATCTTTATCTGCCCACCATCATTTGAGGTGCTTGAGAAGCGCCTTCGTGACAGGTGTGACCTAAAGCTTGAGATTGAGAACCCATCTAACTTTTGCATTCCCTTATGGTTGCCGAGTTCTTAATTTTTTATTTTTTGTTTTTTCTCAGGGGGACCGAGACAGAAGAGCAGATCCAAAAGAGACTCCGAAATGCTAGGGCAGAGCTTCAGCAAGGACAATCATCAGGCCTCTTTGAACATATCTTGGTAAACGATGATCTTGAGACTTGCTATGAGAGTCTTAAGGTGATTATCAATTCTTTGCGTAGCATTCATTAATAATTTCTTTGGTTTCCTTACCGGGAATTTCATTCAACTTCGCAGTGCTTATTGATTATGTTTCATTTAATGCAGAAAGTCCTAGGTCTTGATGGAATCGCTGGTACTACCCCTAAACCAAGTAAGTAGTCCTCCAACATATCTTCATTTGGTTATCGTATGTTTTCCATGCTTTTTGATTTTGTCTCTTTGTCTGAAAATTGATAGAATTTGAAAATGCCAATCCAGTGCCAAAATTTGTCGATCTGCCTGTGGACCGGTCTGTGTCAAAGATCGATAAAAAAATCTGTATAAATTGTCGATCTGCAGAACTGGAAAACGCTTCAGAACAGTTGTAAGAATCTTATACCTATCTTTTGCTTAAGGTGTATACTGAAACCTAATTATAATTTTAAATTCTCATGTGCCTATTATTATTATTTGGGGTTGAGCAGATTTGTACTTGATCTATCTTCACTTAAAGGAGGCGCACCGGGACGGACAAGAGGACTAAACATGTATGCCATAGACCCATTTGCAAATGGCATAAAATATGAGATCTAGCAGCTGAGTTGCTGATGGCCCCTACAGTCTATAACCTCCTCAACTTAATTAACTCACTTTTATTCTTTCTCTTTTTTTGTCTGTTGAAATTCTACATTTTTGTGACTTACAAATAGAGGATTGAACCACATATGTGATCCTTCAAAATCATTGCTGTTCTACATTTTTCTGCATTCTTTGTTTTCAAGGATAGGGATGATTTGGAGAAGTAGCATTCAAATAAAATTAATTACATGAGAAATGAGATCATTTATAATTCATAGCAATTTCCATTTCAACTTTCTTTTTCTTCTTTTGAGATTTCCCAGTTCATCCATTAGGGATATCTTTTATCAGAGAAGGATATGAACTTCATTTGATGGCTAAATGTGAGCGTTGGAATGTTAGGTTCTATAGTTGGATTGTATGCTATGAACATATCTATATGTCAAGGAAAACTGTATTGGTGAGTATTCATGCTAAAAGTAATTTACTTTTATTTATGTATTTCTTGTTGAGCAATGGCTAGGGGCTTCAAATAAATTATTCTCTCTTCCCTGTTTTGATAGTTATGTTTTGAAATTTTACATTTTTAAGGAGACATAATTTTTATGCTTGGATTCAAATTTTAAAACATTAATTGTCAAAATATCATTATGTTCTCATTTTTTAATGTATTTATAATTACTTACGAGGGATAATTTTGGTTACTTTATTCCCAAAAAATTTTTGGTAACTTTTAAATTTGAAGTTTTGATTTTTTAAAGTGGATTTATATTTTAGGATAATAAAAAATAAAATAATGGACAAATAAAATATAATGAAAGTAATTATATGAATATTGTGTAGAATATTTAATATTACATTTGGTTTGATACTACATTTGGAGTCATTATTTCTAAACGAGTGTGTAAACTTTAATAATTTGATTTATTTTCAATGTAAATTATTTATCTATTTTTGTTAATTTTTTTATTTTATTTTTAGATTTGACCTATTTTCGTTAATTAAAAATGACAAAAAAAAAATATTACATAAGAAAGCAACCCAAGAAGGGGGGGAGGGGGTAAATTGGATAATTAAAAAAATATAATCAGAAAATAGATTTCAAATAATTAAGTGAGTAAATGCAGTAGACAATCAATTAATACACAGAAAATAAAGGAGAAGAAAAAAGAGCTCAAACATAATGATTTATTGTAGTTCAGCTCACTGGCTTTCGTTCACTCGTCAAGATATTTCCTTAAGAATTTCTTCACTATGAATCAATGTACCACCAAGTTTCTCTTGGCTTGTGGATTTTTACAAATGATTTACTTCTATCTGTTGAGGACCTCTCAACTAAAATGTCTCACGTTACAAGTGTTTCACTCAGAAAATAAGGAATAAAGATTACGAATTTTCTCTCTCAAAAGATGGATATGAAAATGTAAGCATAGAGGGAATTTAAGGCCCACTCAGATATGAAAATAGAAGTACAATGAAGTATAATAAAGGCTCTTGAATGCTCTGGTATTCTTGTGTCGAAGAGTTCTGTATTTCAAACAAAGAGAGCTTCTTCTTTATAGCATTAATAGCTTCTAGCTATTGGAGAGCGATAGAGATAAATCTTTTAGCCGTTGGAGCAAATCATGGAGGATATCTTCCAGTTGTATTGATCAGAGCATGGATGTATACAGACTACAATAAGGTCTTTAGGAGAGAAGCTTCATTAAATGCACAAATTTTCATTAAATGCTCAACCTCATAAATCAACTCTTGATAAAAGATATAATGTCAGAAAATTTGCTCAATGATCAGAAATAATGACTTATTCTGCACATGGATTAGAAAAGTGGTTAAGAAATGAGTTGTGTCAGTCCAGATCTGATTTGGCAGCTAGATTTTTGAAACCTAGATTTTAAGGGTGTCGACCCCTACAGATTGGGTGTTGACCCTTTCCTCTCTTTTCTTCTCTGAGTTGATTTCCAGGTGTTCTTAGTGTCGACCCATATGTAACTGGGTGTCGACTCTTTTATTTGTTGGAAGTCTAAACTTTGTTTGTTGAGTTTTAGTGTCGACCCATGTCATTCCTCGTGTTGACCCTTTATGTTGGATTGTGTTCTGAAATTTAGTGTCAACCCTTGTTGTCTTGGTGTCGACCCTTGTAGCTGGAATGAGTTTTGAAATTTAGTGTCGACCCTTGTAGCCGGAACACTCAGGTATTCTGAACTTTATTCTAGTGTCAACCCTTGCTATCTTAGTGTCGACCCTTGGACTTGTTTTAAGCTTAAATAGTGTTTTGGATATATGTGCTAATTTTATGTTTTGAGGGGCTAAAAAACCATTAGAAAACAACACTATAGAAGCATATATCTCTTAGAAACATTGCAGCACAATTGTATAATATTATTTTAAAAACTTTGAATAAAACAAGTTCAAAATATTTGTCGATAATCAAAATCAATAAGAATTTAAATTCGAATAACCCTGGGGCTAACAAAAAATAATACTTTAATCATTAAAATAAGTAGGCATAAAATATCTAAAATACCTCTTTATATTGAGTTTAATGATTTTAAAATATTTTTTCTTTTTATCGATTTTATTTAATGAAAATAGACAAATGATTCAATTGAAAATAAATAAAAAAATTTAATGTTAAAATTGATAAAATTAAAATTTTGAATTTATTTAATTATCAAGATCAATTGATTTGATTTGATTTTTTTTTTTTTTGGTTAATTTTTCCTAAATATTTGATAACACTAATAAAGATAAAAATAAGGACTTGTAGCTTGTAAAAATTTTCTCAACTAAATCTAATCAATTACAAACTGAATGTATAAAATAAAATGACTAATTTATCACTTTGGGTACATTTTTTCTCACACCTATGTGTGAATTAAAATTGGATGCCTAACATATAATACTTATTCAATATGAAGAGAATCTTTTGAAAACTATCCTTTTAAATTTTTGCATTCTCATCTTTTAAGAGACAACTAAACAAGAAAATTTCAATCAATATTTTCTCTCCTCTCATTTTACTTTTCAAAACATAGTTGTCTATAAAAAAAGAAAGCAAAAACATTACAAGAAAAGAAACAAACATGAAATGTGACTCAAAAAAAAAAAGAAAAAGAAAAAAGAAAAAAACACATGAAATCATAAGTGATATAAGATTGAATAAGATATTTATAAATTAAAAATAATAATAATTAGGAACCTTACAGATAGTAACAATATGATATATTACTTTCATCATCAATTAAAATACCAATGCTTCACAAACCAATTATATGTCATAGTTGAAAATAAGATTTGAGAGCATAAAAAATGGTTACCAAATATGATGTAATTAAATAATGGAGCTTTTATGGAATCTACTTTCTTGTTATTTATTTATTTTCAAGTAAAGGAAAATATCTCCTTTCAGTGTCAGTGATACCAGGTTGTAAATCATTAGTGCAAGCTTAGTTGTCTTACAACTATAGGTTGTCCAGTAATGTGGGGGTTGGGTACGGCATCAATATAGTGGGGTTGAAAACATGTAAGAAAATAAAGAAATGAAAGAGAAATAACACCTAAAAAAATAAGTAAAGAATAATAATAATTAGAGCCGGCCCTGACCTAACTTAGGTAAGGCTTATGTCTTAGGTTTCAAATTTTAGCTCAAAAATAGAGGTTTCAAATTTAAAAAATTGTAATAGGTCTAATTTTTTATTTTTTATTTTTTAAGATCAATTTAAAGGGTTCCAAAATATTTTATTTGGCCCATATATAATTTAGCTCATATTTATTTATAAATGTGTTTGGCCCAAATGTATTAAAATATATATATATATATATATATATAAAAAAAAACCAACAACAAAAACAAAAAATTTGTTTGGGCCCAACCCAAACTATACATACAATATACAACATCACTTCAATGCACTGCTAGTGTGCTTCTGCTTTCAATCTCTCTCTTTAACGAAGTGATGAAATGAAGATAGAAGTATGTACACCAAGTTGAAGGCAGACGTAGAGCACAGCATTGTGAGCGACTCACTCTCTCTCTTTCACACACTTCTCTGGCAATTCACTCTCTCTCATACACACTCTCTCATGGTAAGTCCTCTCTTTTACTATTAGATTTTATTAAATAAAGTTGTCCTAATTTTTTTTCTATATTCTTTCTCTATCAATTAGTGAAATAATAAATTTGTCCTAATTTTTTTGTTACCTTCTTTATCCATTAGATTTTAGTGGAATAAATAATTTGGCCCTAATTTTTTTACCTAGGTATTTATCAGTTTTAATTGAATAATTTTTTTGCCCTAATTTTGTTTTATTAAATTATTTTTTATAATTTATTTGCTATCAGATCAGTGGATTGTGATTTGTGGATTGAAGTGTTTGTGATTTGTGGATTGATTTGAAGTGTTTGTGATTTGTGGATTGAAGTGTTTGTGAGATTTTAGTGGAATAAATAATTTGGCCCTAATTTTTTTACCTGGGTATTTATCAGTTTTAATTGAATAATTTTTTTGCCCTAATTTTGTTTCATTAAATTATTTTTTATAATTTATTTGCTATCAGATTAGTGGATTGTGATTTGTGGATTGAAGTGAAGTGTTTGTGACTTGTGGATTGAAGTGTTTGTGATTATAGCCATATTTCCTAGGAAGTATAGTTCAAGTGTACTTAAATAAAAAATTTATGGATACTTATCATTTTATGCTTAAAATTTTTATTAAAAAATATATATTAGAGGGGCCCCATTTTCATAGTTTGTCTTAAGCCCCACAAATCACAGGGCCGACCCTAATAATAATAATAATAATGTTACATCTCACCAAAACCCTTAATATTAAACTCTAATAACATAACAAGCACTTATTATATAATTTTTATATTTTAGTAAAGTTTCGTATTAATGTGACTTATGATACATTACTAAAGTTGATTTAAGAGTTCAAATCAATGATCCAAAACAATTTCTGAAAGAAAAATAAAACATTTTCTGAAAGAAAAAATAAACAAACGTTCTCTTAATTAATCACGGTTCTACCATGAGTGATCTGTCAGCCTGTCTATTAGTGACAACTGGCTAAGATTGTTATTTATTGCATGAAAATTATTTGTTAGTTTAGGGATACCATATGACCATATTTCTATATAATCACAAATGATCGCATCCCTTATATTTTATAATCACTCAGCACGAACTCATGAGTCGTACTTTCTCCATCAATCACTATACACTTGAGATATCACATGGCCGTCTCTCAAAACCACCAAATAAGTTCTCTCATTGCACTTTGTTTGAATGAAAAGAAAATATTAAAAGAAATAAAGAAAAAAAAAATGAAAAAGTCGTCACCACATACATTTGTGAAAAGATTTGACACACCATAAACAAATAAGGAAGAGTACCCTATCACCACTTAACAAATAATTTCAATTGAAATTGAGTACTAGGTACTACCAAACATGACAATGAATAATTATTTTTATTGTAATTATTATTATTAGG